TTGGTGCAACATTACCACAAGGCAGAATGCCCTTACCCAGCGATGGGAAGCTTTACCCATCGATGGGAACCCAGCGATGGGAAGGCTTAACCATCGATGGTTAGGCATGACCGTTGCGAGTCATTTAAGGCTGATTCTTTCCTTATTTGAAAGTCAACCTCCCACCCAGCGATGGGAAGCATCTACCCATCGATGGGTAGGTAACCGTTGGCTTCAAAACTGAAGGAAAATTGGCTTACCAGCGATGAGTAAGTTTCAAACATCGATGGGAAGCCAATATCCTGCAGATCCCAAATTTATTCAATCCCATAAATCAAGCCAATCACCCCTTTAATGTATTGGTCCGTTGGAGCCTTTTTTGGCACTATAAAAAGGGGTGTTTGGGTATGCTTTTCTCATCAATTTACTTCACTTTGTTCATATTATCATTGCATCCAAACAACATTATTTTCCATAGCTTTCTAGAGCCAATTTGTGAAGTTTGAGTTGTTCTTGAGCGTATATAGTTTACTCAACATCTACTCTTAAAGAGAGTCTTGTTCTTGAGTGTTCTTAGTGTTGTAAACACGTTTAGGGAAGCTTGTTTCCCTTGGTTGTACGAAGGAAAAGTATTCTCCTTCGGGTTGAAGTCTTGGAGTGCGGTATCTCCGAGCAAGTGTATTGAGGCTCGTGGGACTCGAGTTCTCAGGTTGTAACGGTTTGTTAAGCACCCGTAAGCTTAACGTTGATAGTGTAGCTCGAGAGAGTCTCTCGGGAGGCTGGACTAGACACACATTGTGGTGAACCAGGGTAAAACCGGTGTGTTCTCTCCTTACGCTTTTTATTCCGCTCTTTACTTTATCCCTGCGATTTTTATTCCGCGAAAATTTATAAACATTCTCGTGCCTCACTATTCACCCCCCTCTAGTGAAGGGCACTTATTCTAACACCTGGAAGAAGGCTGCATTTGAACCTTAGAGAGGGTTCGAAACCATTCGACATGGTTAAAACTCTAGTATTCTTACCGGTTAAGGATACTTCAAGAATCACTAGGTTATAGGTGCGTCATCCTTACAACCTACCGATTTAATTAAAAAAAAGGGAATACCCCGGTCGGGTATTAATAATTGAGAACTTCAAAAGTTCTTCAAGGTGAACCAGTTAACCGGTTAGACCGTGAAGAAAAGAGCTACCGGTTAACTCAAGTCGATCATCAGAAAATATCCAAAGAAAAAGTTGAAGTTCTACCAGCAGAAGCTAATCAGATTCAGGTGAAAGCTAAAAATTCAAGCAAACGTTGAAGTTCTACCGGTAAAAGTTCCTACGAAGACATCCTAAAGAGCAAAAGCAGAATACCAAAACAAAACGAAAGGTAACTGGGTAGAAAAACAAGCATGGCATTCGATAAAGAAAATACTAATAATTTACAAGTACACTGGGCATACCCGGGCAAATGAAGATATTTTAGGTGTTACAAGAGATAACCGGGCACAGCCGGGGAGATGTACTCTTGGGGGAAGGGAGGAGTCGGCTCTCTATCAGGGATAGGTGCCAGGCCGTATGCTTTAACGCTGATGTTCGGATCCCGGTCGACCAATATTTTGTTGGAACACACTTTGTACGTTTAACTAAAGTCGTGTTCATTTCTGACGGGTTTTGATAATTTCCAAACCGCAGTGGATATGAAGAGTCTCGTTCAATAACTCTAGGCGTGAAGAATCGAATGGAACAAGACCTAAAAGACTCAAGGACAAGATCAAGAATTGAAGACTTAGTCGAGTCGGTCTTTTGTGATCAAAACCGACAATCAATTCAAGTCTCGGTTTCTCAAAGAGTCAAAATTATTTTACAAAATCATAAAATATTTTTGTGCATCAAAATAAAAATTTTTGATAAATTTTTTATTGTTAAAATCCCTGGTCCTTGCTCAGAACCAAAATCACCTAAGTTGGCGTACGATGTTCGGCGTTAAGCTTTCGGTGTTCGGCGTTCGGTTTTTGGCGCCCGAACCTACTCGGTGGTTTTCAATGTTTTAAACCTCGCTTTTATCTCTGAGCCTATTCAAAAGGTTCCCAAATAATTTTTTCATAAAAACCACTTTTGTATCTTGGTCAAACGGTCTAACACGTGAAAAGCGGTCTTAACCGTACACACGTGATAAACAACCTTGAGGACTTGGTTTTTACCAAACAAGTCTTGGTTTCACTATTTTATACCATATAAAATGTTTTTAAAACTTGGTTTTTACTTTTGGGGACACTTCGTTTTTGGACCTCGGTTTTTCAAAACGGGTTTCAGCTGGCTAGACTTTAGCTGGGTGATAATCGATTATCACTTTAGTGACAATCGACTATCAGCCCCTACAGCTTTGAACTTCCAATGTTCTGAAGCACGCAATAATCAATTATCACTCATGCAATAATCGATTATCAGTCTTTGCAACCAAAACCCAGAATCTTCTAAGAGGACCAATAATCGATTATCACTTGTTGACAATCGATTATCTGGGTTACCGTTATCCTCCAATGGATAGAATTTTAAATTTTTGGACAAGGAATCTTTTGATAATCGATTATCTAGCTTGGATAATCGACTATCAGCTTGTGTCTCTGAAATATTTGTCTTCATCTTGTTGGAAATTCTAGCAACGGATTTATCCCATTTTGGGCTATAAAATGGCACCCAAATCCTCTCATTTTACACACAATTCTTCAACACTTCAATACTCTTTCATTGCATAAGCATTCCTATTTTTCTTAGCTATTTGAGAGCCAATTCTTGAAGAAATTGTCGTGTTCTTGAGCATTTACTAGTTCACTCATATCTACTCTTTGTGAGAGTTTTATTCCTGAGTGTTTAAGTGTTTTCATACACTTTAAGGGAAGTTGTTCCCTTGTTGTAAACTCGAAGGAAGTTCTTTGTTCCTTCGTGAGAAGTCTTGGAGTGCGGTATCTCCGAGCAAAGGCGTTGAGGCTCGTGTGACTCGGGTTCTCAAGTTGTATCGGTTTGTTAAGCACCCTTAAGCTTAACGAAGTTAGTGTAGCTCGAGAGAGTCTCTCAGGAGGCTGGATTAGCCACACGTTGTGGTGAACCAGGATAAAATTCGGTGTGCTCCTTCCTTACGCTCTTTACTTTAACGCTCTCATTTTTAATTTCCTGCGATTTTGTTTCAAACTCTATTCGCCCCCCCTCTAGCGTTGGGCCTTTATTCTAACAATTGGTATCATAGCCTTACTCTTTGAAAGACTTAACCGTTTGAGAGAAACGATCAATGGCTTCTACTCAAAGTTCATACGCAGGTTTAGGTGAAGGGCAATCCACCACGAGGCCTCCGTTGTTTGACGGAACGAACTACACCTATTGGAAGGAGCGGATGAGGATATACATCCAATCCACCAACTTTCTCCTATGGAGAACTATCAAGAATGGTGAAGACGTGCCTATGAAGAAGGTCGGGGAAACCAATGTTCCTAAGACCGAAAATGAGTATGATGCACAAGACATCAAGAAAGTGGAGAACAATGCCAAGGCCATCAACATCATCTATTGTGCCGTTAACCCGGATGACTATCGGAAGATTTCTTGTTGTTCCACCGCCAAGGAAATGTGGGACAAATCAGAAATCACCTACGAAGGTACAGATCAAGTCCGAGAAGCTAAAATTGATTTTCTAACCCATGAATATGAATTGTTTCGTATGAAGGAGAATGAGAAATTCGATGAGATGTTTGAACGATTTTCCGAAATCGTCAATGATCTCCATGCTCTCAAGAAGACGTATACGGACAAGGAGCTTGTGAGAAAAATCCTGCGGAGTCTCACACCGGAATGGTGTTCCAAAGCCGATGCCATCCAAGAGTCCATCGGCATCACCAACGTCACCATCGACGGGCTTAAAGGTAACCTCAAAACCTATGAGTCTACCATTTTATTCCCTTCTTTAGGTGAACAAAAGAAGAAGGGGATTGCACTCAAGGCTTCCTCAAGTCAAGAACCTACCATGGAGGAATCAAGCGATGAAGACAACGAGTTAGGGCTCGTTATCAAAAAGTTCCACAAGTTCATGCGTAAGGAGTATGAACGGAAGGGCAAGAAGCATGGAGGACCACCCAAGTGCTATGGGTGTGGAGAAGTTGGGCACATCAAACCAAAATGCCCAAATGCCAAGAATGAGAAGGAGAAGAAATCATTCAAGAAGCACCAAGCGTACATCTCTTAGGGAGGTGATTCCGGCGACGAGTCATCGGAAGGCGAAGAAAATGAAAGTGCCAACCTTTGCCTCATGGCACACGAGGAACCATCGGAAGAGGTATGTACCACTTCTAAAGATTCCTATACCGTTGATGATGTACAAGAAGCTTTTAATGAACTTTATGATGAATATGTCAACGCTTCTAAAATTAACAAGGATTTGAAGAAACAACTTACTTCCATGGAGAAGGAAGTTGACAAACTATCAAAAGATAATGAAAAACTTAAAGAAGAAAATAAGTTTTTCGGAAAAAGAAGCGCCGACAAACTGGAAAGTTCAAAATGTAATTCTTGTATATCACTTAAGGAACAAGTTGCAAAACTTGAAGGAACTTTTAAGAAGTTTGGTGTTTCTCATAAAAATCTTAATGATGTTCTTGATAATTTGCAACATACTAAACATGGCCTAGGCTTTGAAAATGGAACTAATACTAAAGAAAAAGTTGAGCAACCACCTAAACAACCTAAGGCTCAACCTAGGAAAACTAAAATGAGCAATAATAGACAACCTACAACAACTAGGAACACTAGACCACCTAGAAAGAACACTAGGATAAACAATGGTCAAGTTAGAGAACCTAGAAACAATTTTTCAAATAATAAACAAAATTTTTCTCAAACTAGGATCAATCAATATAGAAAATCTAGTAACTATTATCAACCTAGGAGAATGGCATAATCCAAATGTTATTTGTCATTATTGCAATAGGGTAGGACATATAGCCCCGGTTTGTTTCACTAGGCATAGGCATTGCACTCAAAATCAATCACACTACCAACGTGCATCTAACACCCAAGAACCCAAAAGGAATTGGGTACCTAAATCTTTTTAAATTGATTTGTAGGTGTGCTTGAAGGCATCAAGTGTACTATGGTACGTTGATAGCGGATGCTCCAAGCACATGATCGGAGATGCATCCAAGTTTTTGCAAATCAAACCAACTAAAGGAGGAAACATTGTCTTTGGCGATAATAGCAAAGGCAAGATAATCGGCATTGGTTCGGTTGGTAAAAACGAAACCTCCTCTATTGATAACGTTTTGTTGGTTAAGGGTCTTAAACACAATCTCTTGAGCATAAGTCAATTGTGTGACAAGGGGAATCGTGTGACCTTCGATTCTAAATCATGTACGGTAGAACGTCTTAGTGACAATAAGACGATTCTTCGTGGTGATAGAATTGATAATATTTACATGGTTAACTTAGATGAATCTCCCTCCGACTTTGCCAAATGTCTCATGAGTAAGGAGGACGATATGTGGCTATGGCATTGTAGAGTAGCTCATGTCAACATGAACCTTTTGAATAAATTGGTTTCACAAGACTTAGTGGTTGGTCTTCCGAAACTCAAGTTTGAGAAGGACGCCATTTGTGATTCATGTCAAAAGAGCAAGCAAGTAACGGCCTCATTTAAATCGAAAAATGTTGTGTCTACAACAAGGCCCCTACAACTTTTGCACATGGATCTCTTTGGACCATCAAGAACAAAAAGTTTTGGGGGAAACTATTTTGCCTTTGTGATTGTTGATGACTACTCTCGATTCACATGGACGTTATTTCTAACTCATAAAAGTGAGGCATTTCACGTTTTCAAAACTTTTCTCGAAAAGGTTCAAAATGAAAAAGGCTTAACCACCGTAGGCATACGAAGCGATCATGGTGGAGAGTTCGAACAAGAACTCTTTATCGAGTTTTGTGACGAACTAGGCATTGAGCATAACTTCTCCGCTCCACGTACACCACAACAAAATGGCGTGGTGGAACGTAAAAATCGTTGTCTCGAGGAGATGGCTAGAACTATGCTTGATGAGGCAAAAATTCCTAAGTATTTTTGGGCGGATGCCGTGAGTACCGCAAGCTACGTGTTAAACCGAGCCGTCATTAGACCAATACTCATGAAAACCCCATATGAATTATACAAAGGAAGAAAGTCAAACCTCTCCCATCTTCGAGTATTTGGTTGCAAATGTTTTGTTCACAATAATGGAAAAGATAATTTGGGCAAATTCGATGCAAAGTCAGATGAAGGAATTTTTCTTGGTTATTCATTGCGTAGTAAGGCTTATAGAGTCTTCAACAAACGCACCTTAACCATTGAGGAATCTTCTCATGTTGTCTTTGCCAAAAATGATACTCGCTTGGCGAGAAAGGTTTCTTGTGATGATCTTATAGATTCGTTGGAGAACATCTATCTCAGCGACAATGACGAAGGAGACAACTCAAAGGAAAGCCAAAATGAAGAACTAGAGCCACCCGTAAACGAGGAACAACCACAAGAGGAAGAAACGCCAATGCCAAGGGCATGGAGGACTTCAAAGAACCATCCTCTTGACAAGGTAATCGGTGATATCAACCGAAAGGTAAGTACTCGTAGCTCTCTTAGGGACACCGTAGGTCACATGGCTTTTGTTTCTAAAATTGAACCTACAACCATTTCGGAAGCAACTGATGATGAACATTGGACCTTGGCAATGCAAGAGGAGCTTAACCAATTCAAACGAAATGACGTTTGGGAATTGGTGCCAAGACCCGATGATCATACCATAATTGGTACGAAATGGGTGTTCCGTAACAAACTCGATGAAAATGGGATAATCACTAGAAACAAAGCTAGGCTTGTAGCTAAAGGCTACAATCAAGAAGAAGGCATTGATTTTGAAGAAACTTATGCACCGGTAGCACGTTTAGAAGCTATTCGTTTATTACTCGCTTTTGCTTCATCTATGGATTTTAAACTATACCAAATGGATTTTAAGAGTGCCTTCCTCAATGGTTTTATTCAAGAGGAAGTGTATGTTGATCAACCCCCAGGCTTTGACGACTTTGAGCACCCGGAGTATGTCTATAAACTAAAGAAAGCACTCTACGGTCTTAAACAAGCACCTCGTGCTTGGTATGAACGTTTGAGTAAATTTCTTTTGGACAACAGGTTCAAAAGGGGGAAGGTTGACACTACACTTTGTATCAAGAGTAAAAACGATAACATCCTTTTGGTGCAAGTTTACGTAGATGACATTATATTCGGTGCTACTAACGAATCTTTGTGTAAGGAATTTTCAAACTTAATGACAAATGAATTTGAGATGTCCATGATGGGGGAAATCAATTTCTTCTTGGGGTTACAAGTCAAACAAATGAGGGAAGGAACCTTCATCTGTCAATCAAAGTTTTGCAAGTAGCTCCTAAAGAGATTTGAAATGGATGGCTCCAAAGCAATTCAATGACTACCCCGATGAGCACCTCCGAGCACTTGGACAAAGATGAAAAGGGTAAGGAAGTAGACGTAAAGAAGTATCGAGGTATGATCGGATCCCTTCTTTATCTTACCGCTAGTAGACCCGATATCATGTTTAGCGTTTGTTTATGTGCAAGGTATCAATCTTGTCCGAAAGAATCACATTTAACGGCGGTGAAACGGATAATGAAATACATTGTTGGTACTAGGGATGGCAACGGGTCGGGTTCGGTTCGGATATACCCTTACCCGAAACCGACCCGAAATTTTGATCGGATATTTTTTTTTGCCTGAACCCGAACCGTCGGGTATAAATTTCTACCCGAACCCGAACCCGACTGCCTAAACCGAAACCCGAAACCGCAACCGAACCCGAGAATTTGACAAAAACCTAAGCTTAACCTGACCTGAAAACCGACCGACCCGACTGACCGACCGACTGACCATACCAATATCCTAATAAATCAGTTTTTTGTAATGATTTTTATTAAAATAATGATAAAATAATAAATGCAAGTAATGATATAAATAGAATTCCAATACATAAAAACATTTGAACGTTCAAAGACATCGTAAAATTAAGATATTAAAAAAGATGTGTCCCAAATAACAACCAAAACATGGAAGTGTAACAAGTTTTCACAAATATTTCACAAGAGAAACAACACACATAAATATAACAAGTTTTCACAAATATTTTTCAAGTCCGTAACCGGTAACTCCCGTAAGTCAAATACTTTTAATTGAAAAAGGTTTTTTTTATATTTTAAAAAGGCCTTTTATTTCAGGTTAATTATCGGGTCGGTCGGGTACGGGTCAGGTCGGTCAAATTTAATTACCGAAAACCGACCCGACAAAAGTCGGGTTCGGTTTTAAAATCTTCGGGTCGGTTTCGGATATTTATTTTTTCGGTCGGATTCGGATATTATATACTTCGGTCGGGTCGGAAAAAGTTGGATTCGGATAAAATTGCCATCCCTAGTTGGTACAATGAACGTTGGACTATGGTACCCCAAAGGGTCTCCTTGTCATCTTTTTGGCTATTCCGAATCGGACTTTACCGGTTGTAGATTAGACCGTAAGAGTACGTGTGGAACGTGTCACTTGTTTGGTAGTTGTTGTGCTCAAATCCTTTGGATGAAGCAACAACTTGTGGATTATGGCCTTAGTATCGATCATGTCCCTCTTCGATGTGATAATACTAGTGCCATAAGCTTGACGAAGAATCCGGTTCTTCACTCAAGGACGAAACATATTGACATTAGGCATCATTTCATTAGAGATCATGTTCTCAAAGGTGATGTCGAAATTGAGTTCGTTGAAACACACAACCAATTAGCCGACATTTTCAAAAAACCTTTAGAGAAAGAGTCGTTCTTCCGCATTCGTAGTAAACTCAGAATCCTTGACTCCACGATGATCTAAGTTGTGCATTAGTTATCATTTCGTGGTCTTTACTAACTTGAACGTCGGAGATGTTTTTAATTCTTTTTTGCAGGGCTTTTCTTTTAAATTTTATTTTTCAGGTGTCAAAGTCAGGGGGAACAAAGTAAATCGATTTTTTTTAGACTTGGTGTAAATCGATTGACAGGCTTGTGATAATCGACTATCACAGCCCGCAGAAGTTTGGAGCCAAGAAACTGAAGGAGCTAACAATCGATTATCAACATTGAGATAATTGATTATCTGAGCCTGCAGAAATTTAAGGCAACTCAGGCGCAAACTCCAACAATCGATTTACCAAAACATGGCAATCGACTATTGAAGACTGCAGGTCCTTCAGCGGAGAATCTGAGGCGTCTGATAATCAATTTACAGGTTATGTAAATCGATTTACAACGGCAGATTTTCAAAAATCTGGCCATTTTCTAGCCGTTGGAAGTGCATTTAACACAACTTTTGACTGGTCCAACGGGTCTCAAGCCTTCTCCATTATAAATTGGTGATCTCTATTCATTTTATACTCACTCAAATCATACTTTCTCCATATTTTCATCATAATTCATCATTCTTGCTATTGTTCTTCAACTCTTAGCCAATTTTTCTGCAAATTTTCTCTTCTCCCTCTCTACTTTGTTGAAATGGCACGAGGTCAAAGAAAAAGATCCCGCACCGGCAAGAATGTCACCTCTTCCTCGGCTCCTCCACCACCGACGCACAAGTATCTCGACGGGTCGTTCCTTTGGTTCAACGACCGCGAAGAGGCTGCAAGGTTCTCAGAGAAGTTTGAGCACCGGGAGATTCTTCCTCCCCGATTTTCCACCAGCCACTTCATTCACGGCTCAATCCCAAGGCAGGCACGGGTCATCCTCCAAGAAGGACACTTCCTCGACCTCCTCTACATCAAGAAGAACGACTACCACCCTTTTCTTGTTCGAGCCTTCTACTCGAATTTGAAAAAGGATGAGGACGGTTCGTTGACTTCCAACGTTAACGGGGTGGAGATCTATTTGAATGAGGAGAACATTCAAATTCTCACCGGGATTCGTCGGGAAGGACAGGATCTCGGGCTCTACATCGGAGAAGAAGGAGCACGGTTCAACGAGACCGCCCTCTTGGAGGAAGTGGGCATCCGAAACTTCGTTCCCACTCCCCAACAGCGGCGCCCTACGATTACTTCCATGAGTCCCGTGTTTTGATTCATTTTTTATGTTTTGACACGGATTCTCAAGCCTAGGAAGTTCAATCACACCACTCTCTCCCAAGAGGACACGAAGACGATCCATGCGATGATTCACAACGCCAATATCAATTGGTGTAAATTTGTGATGACTCACATGTTCAACGCCACCTCCGACAACCGGCCGCTCCCCTATGCTCTTCTCGTCATGGAGATCCTTGATGAGTTCCACATCAAGACGGACGTCGGGCCAAAATGCAAAGGGACGAAGCATTGGGAGATTAACGAGTTCTCCTTTCACCTGGGAACCGATGAAGCTACGTTCCCGCAGTCTCGTCCTCACCGTCAACCGAGAGCCACTGCCTCGACCCCCACCGCTTTGACCAATCCTTCTCTCACCGAGCAAATAGCGGCTTTGACCACCACCCTTTCTCGGATAGACACCAACGTCTCCAAAATGGCACATAACGTCAATATTCTAAGCCGTAAGCTTCACGGGTATTTTGACTTTGTCAACTACCCCTACGCTCAAATGGTCCCTTATGTTCCTCCGCCAAACCTAGGTGGTGAACCAAGTGGGACTAACGACGTTGGAAGAGAAGAAGCGGTGAATGAAGAAGAAGAAGAAGAAGAAGAAGACGAAGAAGCTGATGATGATGGTGGTGGTGGTGGTGGTGGTGATGACGAAGAGGAAGACATCGACGAAGAACAGCTTCTCGATGACCTCTCACAGGACTTCTAGAGCTCTAGCTCTTTTTTCCTTCTTTTCTTTATTTATTATGCTTTTTAAATTTGCTTCCGTTATGTACTTCTCTATTTCCCTTAATTAATCAATAAAAATCTTTATGGTTTTTGTTATTAATTAATAAAAATCTTTATGGTTTTTGTTATTAAATATTTTTGTTAATGTCAAAAGGGGGAAGATAAAGGGGGATTTTTTTTTCAAAAATATCAAAACCCTATGCATATCCCCGTCTTGTTTGCCATTATCAAAAAGGGGGAAATTGTTGGAACACACTTTGTACGTTTAACTAAAGTCGTGTTCATTTCTGACAGGTTTTGATAATTGCCAAACCGCCGTGGATATGAAGAGTCTCATTGAATAACTCAAGGCGTGAAGAATGGCATGGAACAAGACCTAAAAGACTGAAGGACAAGATCAAGAATTGAAGACTTAGTCAAGTCGGTCTTTTGTGATCAAAACCGACAATCAATTCAAGTCTCGGTTCTCAAAGAGTCAAAATTATTTTACAAAATCATGAAATATTTTTGTTCATAAAAATAAACATTTTTGATAATATTGTTAAAATCCCTGGTCCTTGCTCAGAACCAAAATCACCTAAGTCGGTGTCCGGATTTCGGTGTTCGGCGTTTGGTTTTTGGCGCCCGAACCTACTCGGTGGTTTTCAATGTTTTAAACCCCGCTTTTATCTCTGAGCATATTCAAAAGGTTCCCAAATAAGTTTTTCATAAAAACCACTTTTGTATCTTGGTCAAACGGTCTAACACGTGAAAAACGGTCTTAACCGTACACACGTGATAAACGACCTTGAGGACTTGGTTTTTACCAAACAAGTCTTGGTTTCACTATTTTATACCATATAAAATGTTTTTCAAACTTGGTTTTTACTTTTGGGGACACTTCGTTTTTGTACCTCGGTTTTTCAAAACGGGTTTCAGCTGGCTAGACTTTAGCTGGGTGATAATCGATTATCACCTTAGTGACAATCGACTATCAGCCCCTGCAGCTTTGAACTTCCAAAGTTCTGAAGCACTTAATAATCGATTATCACTCATGCAATAATCGATTATCAGTCTTTGCAGCCAAAACCCATAATCTTCTAAGAGGACCAATAATCGATTATCACTTGTTGACAATCGATTATCTGGGTTACCGTTGTCCTCCAACTGATAGAATTTTAAATTTTTGGACAAGGAATCTTTTGATAATCGATTTTCAAGCTTGGATATTCGACTATCAGCCTGTGTCTCTGAAAAATTTGTCTTCATCCTGTTGGAAATTCTAGCAACAGATTTATCCCATTTTGGGCTATAAAATGGCACCCAAATCCTCTCATTTTACACACAATTCTTCAACACTTCAATACTCTTTCATTTCATAAGCATTCCTATTTTTCTTAGCTATTTGAGAGCCAATTCTTGAAGAAATTGTCGTGTTCTTTAGCGTTTACTAGTTCACTCATATCTACTCTTTGTGAGAGTTTTATTCCTGAGTGTTTAAGTGTTTTCATACACTTTAAGGGAGGTTGTTCCCTTTTTTTAAACTCGAAGGAAGTTCTTTGTTCCTTCGTGAGAAGTCTTGGAGTGCGATATCTCCGAGCAAAGGCATTGAGGCTCGTGTGACTCGGGTTCTCAAGTTGTATCGGTTTGTTAAGCACCCTTAAGCTTAACGGAGTTAGTGTAGCTCGAGAGAGTCTCTCGAGAGGCTGGATTAGCCACATGTTGTGGTGAACCAGGATAAAATTTGGTGTGCTCCTTCCTTACGCTCTTTACTTTAACGCTCTCGTTTTTAATTTCCTGCGATTTTGTTTCAAACACTATTCACCCCCCTCTAGCGTTGGGCCTTTATTCTAACATATTTCATGCATGGACTCCTGGTCTCTTTTCTAGCCAGACATGAACCCGAAGGAGCCTATTTGGGTAATCATCTCTTTTCCAAGAGGCTCCCGGTAAATCATTTTGAATGCTTCCATCGTTCTCTCCTGGTGGGATGTGATGACCTGAACTGCCTCCTCTAAGTTCTCCCCCATCCACTGGCAGGCTCTACCGGGAAACTCTTGTTCCTTCAGTCTTGCCTCCTCCTTTATTTGGGAGACCTCCCCCATCAGTTGGATGTTCTCCTCCTTCAGCTGGAGGATCTATGCGTTCACCTTCCTGGCCACCCTAGAGAGGTTGGCCATCTCATCAAGCTGTCGGGCCTTTAGTTCCTGAAGCTCCCGGTTACGGGCCTCGGTCCTTTTTAGCCTTTCCTCCAGCTAGAATGACCGGGAAGGAGAGTCCTCGGCGAGCTACTCTAGGGCATCCGGCCCAACCTCACCCATGTGCAAGATAAAAGAATTAGGTTTGTATAGGTAAACAAACATTGAATTCGAGGGAAAGTACCGAGAGAGCATTACCTATTTCAACTTGAGCCCCATCTTCACCCAGAGCCCTTCTAGTGATTGGGTGACCGAGACGTCCTCCCCCCTCTTCCTCTTCGCAGACGGGTGAGTAGTAGTAGCTTTTTTTGTCCGGCTCTTCCCCTTCCCGTTGTTGGGGCGAGGATTCGTCGCATCCTGCCAGGACTAGGTAGTTCCCCTGGTTTGAGGAGTTTCCTCCTCATCGATGATCTCAACAGTTTTCTGTTGGACCGGCTTATCTTTGGGGGGAGACAGGTGTGGACCGGCGGAAGATGTACCAGTCTTCTTCTTGGGAATACTGAAACAGGTGAAGTTCATTTGTGCAAAATAAACAAAAATATGAATACTAGAAATAAGACCGGTACAAGAAAAGAAGGAAATGATTGATACCTAGGTGACTTGGGCCCCTGGCCTCTGTAGTGTTGCCCAAGGAGGGTACTCTGTGCCCCGCTGCTTCATGGGCCCGAGAGGTACCCTCGCCACCCGGTTGGATTCTCCAAATCCAACTCCCATAGTGGAACATTTTCCCGGTGAACGGGTCCCCTTGAAGGAGCTTCTCCAAACTCTCTTCCAAATATGAAGCGGTGGCCGGTTCTGTGTACTCTGGCTTCAGGATGTAGTCACTCCACTTTAGGCCGGTGAGAGGAGAGATGGTGGGGAATTTTATAAGAACAATTTTCTCCTTCCACAACCAGTTGCTTTGTGGAAGGTCATAAATGAACTTGCGACCGTTTCGGCCTTTGAAATAAACAAAACCGTCGCAACCCGAATTACCAGGAAGGACTTCAAACAAATAGAGAAAGAGACGAAGAGATGGATCGATATGAAGGTGGGTGCAAATATTTACATACGCGTTGAGAAAGCGGTGAGCATTGGGTGTGATATGCCCTGAAGAATTTTAAGGCAGTGGCACAACTCAATTAGGAGGGGAAGAAGGGGGAAAAGGATGCCGCCCTCCAAGGAAGTGATATGGAAACCTATTCTATCCTCCCGGTGAGGCTCGATGATGTTGGGCCAATTCGGGTCATATTCAAGGACATAGCCCACTGGGAGGTTCCTATGGGCTTTGTTTTGTGCAATCTTAGATACTCGGGGATAGATGTATAAGACGTAACTGGTGGGGAGGGGAAAATAACCGGTTGCTTCTAGCCGGTCCTCCCACTCCATCCATGACTCGTTGTCAGGGTCATAGGGACCCAGTTTGTCATGAACCGGTTCTTCCCTCTCCATGAAAACCTGACCGGGCATTTGATTGACCAGCTCAGGTTCAGGGACGGTGGGATGAGGAGCCGACCGGGGTTCGAAATCAGAAGAATAATACCCGATCGAAGAAGAGGAGGTCCTATAATCCTCAGATGTGTAGGCATCTGAGGACGAGATATTTTGACTATCTAAAGAAGACATGACCGAAAAGGAAATAAAGAATGGATGAGGAGCTTACTTGGCTCGGAGGGCTGGAAGGCTCGAGCAGAGAGCTTGACCAGTGAAACTTAGAAGGACACACGAGAGAAAGTAAATAAATGAATGGGAGGAAGGGCTTTATATGAGTGAGGAGGAGTTCGAAGAGGGTGACGTGGCGCGGTCTGGATGCACCACGTGAGGCGGCGCCATCATTTTGCCTAGGAAGGCGCAATGATGGGTTGTCCCAGTGAGCGACACGTGTGAAATCCAACACTTCAAATACAAATTTTGAAACTTAAGGCAGGAAAGGCCTAAAATTTGAATTTTTCGGTCCATTTCTCAGTGTTTTACTTCCCGCCCATGATATTTTACATGGCCGAGAAGTGGAGGGCTTATTGATGGGTGTGTTCCACCTAGAATCGATCAACGAAGACGCTCGTATACTCAACCGGTCAAAGTTGATCTCCTAGGACGGGGGACCTAAATCGTTAGTAAAATAGTGTAGGGATGACCCAAAAGTTGACTGGTATATACTTCGGATAGAATGCCATACTAGAGCTCAAGAGGGGGTCAGTTATGGTTGTAGATTTCTCATACTTAGTAGACTTTAGATAGCAGCCAATGTCATTATTAAACAGAGCTTTGGAAATGGTCTGAGCATCAGGGGTTTCCTTCTCAAAAGAGTTTTGGTATAAGCATCTAGTATCATCAAACCAAAATTCAGTACCATTATTTTCAAACATCATACCAGCCGATCTAAGCTTAACAAGGAACAGTCTAAAACCATACTTAGTGAAACCCTCAGGAACAAATATTGAGGTGGAACCATTTTCTATCATTTCTGTTAACTGAACGAAAAACCCAAAGGAGTTCGAATCCAAAGAGAATCGGAAATCACGGGTACCTTCCTTTTTGGTCTGAACCCAACTGGTGAGCACTGGTCTTTGGAGAATTAAATCGAAGCATGAACAAATCCAGATAAGGGTACTCTTGTTTATCCAAAATCGATAAGATTTGTACCTTCGTTCTTCTGAGATCTCAAGGAATTTAGCTTTTGAAAAATTGAAGGAGAACCTTTTGGACTGCACCTTAAAACTTCCGTTGGCATCTGGACCTTTGAGCAATTTTCGATTGCTTCTGGAATGTGCCGTCAGGATTCGTCAATTCCTTTCCTAACTTGCAAGTTCGATGCTGTTCTTCCGTCGACTAGTTTTCCCACCGACGTAGATCTACGTTAATAGCAGCGGCTGGGAATGGAAACCCGATCTCCAGAGCCCCCTTCTCTCTAAGCCCATTTTTTCCATATATATATATATATATATATATATATATATATATTAGAT